CCGCGCCCTCGGGCCAGCACTGGACGGAGCCACCGCGCGCTGCCCCGGCCGGCCCCGCCCGCGGCCCTGGGCTCTCCTCGTCCCCCCCGCGGTGCGAGGGAAATGGGTCAGGCCGCCTGGCTATAAAAGGGCGGCGCAGCACATGCTTGCGTTAGACCGGGGAGAGGTTTGCGTGTGTGTTGGGGCGCTGGTGGGAGAGCGGCGGGCAAGGGCGGGGGGGGCGGCTCTGGAGCTCCCTGCCCTGAGAAACGGGAGGCAACGAAGCCGGGGGCGCCCCTGCCGCTCCCCAGCGCGGCTGAACGTGGCCGCGCTCCCGGCTGCAAGTCCCAGTGCCCGGGCGTAGCCCCTCGCTTTGAAAGTGATCAGCCAAGGGGAGCGAGTGAAGCAGGCGTCGGTGCGGGGAGAGCAGGGGGATGGATGTCTGGTCGTGTGACTTCAGTGTCCGCCCCCACCCCCGCAAAAAAAGTACATAGAGGCCCCACCTAGGGCTGCTCACTGACTGTCTGCCCTTCTCTCCTTGCCTAGCTTCTCCCCCGGGGGATGCTCTGTCTTGCTCAGGGTGACCCAGCCCCTGCAGCACTTGTGTCCTGATCCTGAGCAGCAGCATGAGTATGGCAAACGAAACATACTTCTTTATAAAAGACATAAAACCCGGACTGAAAAACTTAAATGTCGTCTTTATTGTGCTGGAGATCGGTAAGTGGGTCCCTCTGAGCTGTGTCCCTTCCTTCTTCCCAGCAGCTCTTGCTTCCTGGGGTAGGGGAGTTCTGTGTGTACTGGGAGTACTGGGCGTACTGGGCTTTGGACATGGGGAGCAGGAGCAGCTCACACAGAGGGCAGGGCTCCCCTCTGATCCCCTGTTCCTGTTTAACACCATATTTAATTTCTAATAAGCTCCCTCACTTGGGCAGGTGAGCCAGTCCCGTTCTTGAAGTCATTTAGCCCCTTTCAGCCAGCAGACAGACTCTTATGCTTGTTTGTGATTGCGCTGAGGCGCTTGCTGTTTCATTTTATCTTACGTTTGAAGTCAACTTTCTAAATCCCTTCAGCTATCTCCTTCCTGTTTTCAAGGTACCTCTCTTTGTCAGCTGGTGTGTGTGGGTTTTAAAAACGATTTTACGTTTTATTTTTACTTCCCCTGCAGGACGAGTTACCAAAACCAAAGATGGACATGAAGTGAGATCGTGTAAAGTAGCAGACAAAACGGGCAGCATCACCATTTCGGTGTGGGATGAAATCGGGAGTCTTATACAGCCAGGGGATATTATTCGATTGACCAAAGGGTATGTATGACGTAGGGAGGTGATCTGTCTTGGCTCCGTCCCACCCCTCTTGCTGTGCTTCATAGTGGGGTAACATCTGAATAGTATTGGTGCGTACTTTGGAACTATAGTGAATGTGGAAAACCCCTCTTTGTCACTAAACCAAACGTTTTGATTTGTAAATAGGCTTTGGTCTCATTTGTGAAGGAAACCAAATGACAGAGCGTGCCTTTTGTGGACTGGTTCCTTGTCACACTGTGGCGTAATGATATAAAAACAAATTAAAACTCTCCTTCCTTACTTCAAGGCACACCTAAAATAAATGCATTAAAACACTGTGTATGCCCACTCTGTCTGTATCTCAGTAACTTATCCATATGTAGGTGTTTTGGTTGGATAAGGGTCTGGAGCTTGAGCTTTACCTTCTGTTTTCTTAAAACTTCATTAAAAGAACTTTCCATTTGTGGGGGCGGGGGATAGTAGCTGTCTTGCTCTATAAATTCAAAGCAAGAATTCAGAGAATTGAATAAAAAACCCCTGTTCTTACCTTTAACATTCCTTGTTTCTTGTAGCAGCCTGCTTAAAGTAAGTTCTTTTACAAAAGATTTAATGGAAATTACCAGTGGGAGTAGAAATGAATCCAGGAAAAATTAATTTGGGTGTTACATTATAGTATAGAGGTTTTTTTGGTTCACATGAAAGGAATATATGAACTAAATACTGCCAGATTAGAGAGTTAAAAAACCCCCACCATGTTCCTGGTAACACCAGCTTGTAAAATATAGAACTTTTTTTTTTTTTAAATCACTTTTTATTTTTAGATGGTATAGTAAAAGAGACTTGTCCCTTTCATTTATATTTTCAGTTAAGTTCACTTTCTTCTCATTTAGTACCCCAATCCTAGATTTTTTTTTTTTTTTTGTTTCTAAATCCATGCAGACTACTTTAATTGATAACTACAATACTTCCAGTTTAGAAATATTTTTTTCTGTATTTGTCACAGTAAGTGTGTGTAGACTTGAGGCCATATTTTAATTCTCAGTTTGGGGTGGAAACATCTGAGTATCACCACGAAAATAACAGGTGTTATTTCTGTGGAGATTTTGTAAAAATAAACCCCCCAAAAAACAAAACAAAAACAACCCCCCAACTAATTTTTTGTTAATTAGTTTGAAGCCAAGACACCATGCCCTGCCTTCTGCCAAAATTGGCTAAGGACATCTCCCTCCCCATTAGTTTGTTAGAGAGAATACCTAGGGATTAAAATCTTTGGGTTGGTGTCCAGTATTTCTTTCACAGTTCTAAATGGTACAACTAGATTTGTTAAACTACATGGAGCTACCCAAAATCTTTTGTGTGGTACTCGTTTTTGTTGACCCAAACTCATAATACTACTTCCAGTTTTCTATAGTTGCCACAGTGTTCAATGGAACTGAATGGGAGAAGAGGTAACTTACCTGTGGTCTGCACTGAACTAAAAAAAAGACGTGTTGTGTGATACAAAGCCATGGATTGGCATTATTGCTACTTACATATGTCCAATTTGACCTTATTTACATGAATGCACATTCAATGAAGGCCTGGTGTTTGAATGGCAGGTGCAGAGAAGATTTGACTGGCTCATATTTTACAAAGTACCTTCTTTTTTACCTTATGGTGACATAAAAGTTTCACTAAACTCTGTCTTCTCTCTCCTTGTGTATCTTCCACGTATGTATTTAACTTAAATAGGAGTAATCTGTGTGTGTGACATTTTGCTTTTGCAGGGTTGGTCAATTTTACCTATATAGGGTAATCTTATTCTTCAGTTCAGGCTGGCCTGTTAAAGCTGTTAAAAATAGTTAAGCTTGGCTAGGCACTGCCTGTGTCTAAAACTTCTATTTCTTTTTCCTCTTTCTATGCTCAATTGCGAGTCCGCAGCATAAACAGACATTTATTCAGGGTTTTCATTGTTGTTGGCTATTCATGTTCAGAAAGATGTAGCAGCTAATATTTTAAAATTCTGAATACTAAAGAGTTCTTTGTTCAGTTTAGTGCATTATGGGCAGCACTTATTTTATACGGTGAAAATAAAAATTTGTATAAGTTAGAAAACCCTTTTGTGGTTGGAAATTCTGTGAAGTTTTTTAATCCTTTGGTTTATTGTCTTTTTTTCTCTTTCTTTCTTTTTTCCCCTTTTTGTGTATTTTGTGCTTGATTGATTATCTCTTTGCTTATTTAGCACTACTTTTTCTATATGCCATAAAAATTGTTACACCATTTGCTTAACATTAAGCATGAAGGGGAACTTTTGTGTAAAGCAGAAGGTTGTAATGTTAAGTGCAAAGCCACTCGTGTTGCACACTAGATAGTTAAGTGCTGCTATTAGAAGAAATATAGTACTAACATCTTTATTGCTAAAGACTTTATTTGCTCACTGAAGTACAACAGGAGATGAACTTTCATCCAAGTGTTTTATTTGTATTATGGTAGTACCCTGAAGTGCCCAGAACAGTACGCCCCCAACCCCAGTTAGTACCTTTGTCCCACGATTAACTCCTGCTCTGAAGAGTTAACAGCATAGTAGAAGACCAGGCAAAGGGTAGGAGGAAGGATTAATTCCCATGTTCCACAGATGGACAAGTCAATTAATCTTGTGATTTGGTTTCACAAGGTCATCTCCAACATCTGGGAATGGAACTCCTATCTCTTGACTGTCACCCTGGTGCTTAGCTAGAAGACCATCTTGCTTTCTTGGTAGCCTTCTCTCTTTCCATGTCCCTTATTTGCAGGTCTTATAACTATCCTGTCATATATTCAGTTCCTTTGAGTTGCTCTTTCTTCTGCCTGAAGAAAAGGACTAATGAAAACTTAACATAGCTGAGCTAAAAATCATACTGACCTACAGGGCTGTTTCCACATACTAGAAGTGATTTAGATTTCTGCATATCATTTGAATTTTAACCTTGCAATAAACTAGCTGCTGCTTTCTTAAATCTGTTATCAGCTTAATTTCTGGTGCGAGTCTTTTTCTCTTCTCCTTGAATCTTACACTAATGTGTATTTCACAGTGGCACAGAAGCAGCTTTCCTCTGTCATCCTCCTTGCATTCCTGGGGGCTTGATATAACACATGATTTTTAGCAAGATGTGTATAATGTCTGCACAACAGGAAGAATTTCTGCATGGGGGCTGACTCTAAAGGGCTGCTCAGACTGGGGTTGGTGTAGTAGTCTTGATATGTTCAAGTAGACTCAGGGCTAGTCTCCTTGAAAGCCATGTTAACTTTGGCTCTTCAGCAGTTGTTTTTAAAAGTAGGCAACTAGCCACTGCTTCAGTAAAATAATCTGGAGCGTTAGAGAATTAGTTTGGGAATTGTAGCCAACACATCTCTATTGGTATAGAATACTCTAATTTGCCAAACAGGTTTCTTTCTTCAGTCTTTCAAAGTTTGTATTTCTTACTGGAAAGAATGGACAGTGCTTCCTGTAGCTGTTCTCTCCCTTATCCTTTCTAATGCTCTAATGTTGTTGACTCTGACTAGGTACGCATCTCTGTGGAAAGGATGTTTGACACTTTACACGGGAAGAGGGGGCGAGCTACAGAAAATTGGGGAGTAAGTGTCACATTTGGTACGTTTCTATTGCAGTCAGTTAGATATTGCTATTTGCAGTGTCATGGTATGTATAAAACAAGTGAGCTCTTACCTGAAAGATTTAATGGGTGGGGAAAAGGGGATACTGCTGTTAAACTGTGGTCTTAACTTTTAACAAAGATGGGTATGTTAATTTTAATTGACATTTGCATTCATTCATATTTGGGGGCTGTGTCAGCTTTTATGGCAATCGTTAGGTTTTGGGTCTTAGTTTCATTAGTCCCAGCTCAAAGAAGGATGTGTTTGTGGATCCCATTCTCAGTAGGTATACTGTACTTCCATGTTACAAACTGAGTAAGTTTCCAGTATAAAAACTCATATTGGGTTACACATGATCACGTTTAAGGACTTGGAGCACTGAACACTGAAGTCCTTTATTTATCCACAGGCTAGATACGGTACAGGCAGCCGCAATGCGAGCTTCCACGTACTACTCTGGTAATGAGCTCCAGCCTGTCCTGGAGGGACCATCCTCTCTAGGGGTGTAAAGGTAATTCAGCCTCCGTCTTAGCATGGCCCTGTGGGTCGTATTGATAGGAGTATAATGTGTAAAGTGAGAAGGCAGTTACTCTTTACTGCTTGTTTAGGTCTCAGTTTGCATAATCTGTTTTATTTTGGGACTCTGCTTTTAAAACCTGTATCAGGTTGGAGAGAACTTGGGGAGAGAATTGTGAAGAGAAGGAAGGGTAAGAGGACTTAAGTGAAATGCACATAGGATCAGACAGTTTACAAATAGACAGTGAAGGCATGTAAAGAAGGTATTCTTTACCCATGAAAAGTGCTAAGTAACAAGCAGAATATGCTGGAGGAAGCATTGCCACTTGGGAGGTAGGGTTGGAGATTTGACACTTTGCATATTGGACTGTTCAAGAGGTGGGAAAAAATCCATCTGAATATAATGCAGAGGGACTCATTGGAGGTCTCCTTTCAGGCTAAATTATTCTGATTCTCTGTATAACTTCTTAATGGGGTGGTTCTATAACAGGGTTGGATTACACGAAACCATTGTCTTTTCTTAATTTTGCTCACAAAATCAAGTTGAACAATTGCACAAGTGAGTTTAGAACAAGATTTATTTTCTGAAAGCTTTAATAATCCAGTCTTCCCTCTTTTATTGCTTTCATTGTTAGTGCAGATAGTCTGTGAACTTATTCCCTTACCTAGTGCCTCTAACTGGAAAAGAATGCTGTGAATTTTACTATCCTCTAGATGTTCTGAGCCCTTCTTCAGTGTTAATGAGGTGCTATGCATGCATCTCTGGCATTCAGATTTCTCCATCAGTCACTTGATCAAGATTAGCCTGACATCTTGGGCCCTGATCCTGTGAAGGATTCAACAAGCCAGCACTGTTTTATGCCTGTAGAGGGGGCTGCCTTTGAAGGACTATGGCCTAGATTGTATACTTACAGTGCTGCGGTAATATGAACATCTATACTACTTGGATGTAAGAAACAGAGAGGGTTCTTTGGTATGAGGCTGGAACAGGATGCCTCTCATAATCTTCTTTTCTTTTCAGGTTCTGTATGGTATATTCAGAAGTGCCAAACTTCAGTGAACCCAACTCAGACCACTTTGGGCAGAACAAACTGGTATGCTATATTTTGGGGGGTAAAAATGTGTAAAACATTATTTAATTGGAATACTTTAAGCTAGATTATGGTAAGACTTCTTTGCCTTTTAGAATGGTTTGTAAAGTGATATATGGACCTAAGAATGGAAATAATTTGCAAGTAATGTGTATATATCTTATGCATAGCCTAGTGCAAAAGCACATGCAAGAAATTCAGTCCTCCTGTTAAATGGAAATTGCTTTGTCTGATCTGTACTTTTTCTATGTTTCTCTTAAGGCACAGGGTGAACAGAGTAATAGTTCTTCAGCCAGTAATTTGGGTACTTGTACTTTTGGGACAGTGGGTAAGTTTTGTTTTATTTTGTGGAAGTGAAAGGAAGAGAACCGCTTCAAAAATGAACTAAGAAGCTTAGGGCTTGATATTTGGGGGAGAATATGGATTTATGCCCTAAAAGATGAGGGTTAGCTCAACTCTGGAAGACCTTCTGCTCATATGCATGAGTGTTTTTATTAAAAGTCCTGAGAACTAGTTCACTAGTAATTATACTGGACAGAATTTTTCAAGGTGCTTTGATTTATATAACTCAGACTTAGGTCACTTCTGAAAATTTTCATTCAGAGTGGTCGAGATGTTGCTAATTGAAGGTGAAGCAGTGGACAAAAGCCAAAACAATCTTGTAGTAAATGTCGCATTTAACATCCCCTTAACAAGGGGTAGGTTAGCTTTAATTATAACTTGGCAAGAAAATTATGAAAATACTGTTTCAGTATAATTCTAGGGCAGTTTTGCATTTAAATGGTTGCTTTAAATAAAAAAAAAAAAAAAATGCTTCAGAGGTTTGGGACTGAATGCATATCATGTGAGAGAACCTAAGCACTGGTGTTCCATACTAAAAATGAAGATAGCATCATGATGTTAACCTACTATTATGTATCCAAGATTTGGTGTCAGAGTATTGTTTGATCTCAGACTCATACAGTCAAAAATCAGCAACATTGTTGGTGACTCTCAGCTTCCTCTTCTGGATTTTCACTTCTGTTCTATTTCTCTTTATGAACTCTTGCTATTTTGTTCTGAGCAAAATAAGAGTCATTATCTGAAATCTTTTTCCCCTTAATGCCAGGGCTGCAGCAGTCCTGTTGCAGCCTAATTGTTGTGTAGCTAGTTACTCACCACCTCATTGTTTTGGGGGGGGTGAATTGTTCTGCTTGAGCTATATGCGTATGCCCAGTTTGAGACTTGCTTCTTTGTGTTTTTATCACTTCTTCCTTTCTGCTTCATGAGCAGTCCCTAATTGTTGTGCTCTTCCTTTTCCACCCCCTCCCCCTCCCCCCAAACACTTCCTGCCTACTTTTTTGCCTTCTCAGCATTGAATGTGTGTGTTTTTAAGCAGCATGCTATTGACTGTCATTACTTCTTACTTGAAGCTTTCTTTTTAAACTATTGGTGCCTCTACCTCTGCTGATGATCTTCACAATTCACAAAAACCCCACTTTCTACATGTCTGTCTGGTGGGGAGGGGAATACAGAGTCTTGCTTTACCTCTTGTTCCTCTCAGACTCTTCTGTCCTCCTGTGTCTCTGGGTTACTGTGGAAAATTTAGGCATGCCAGCTACAAGCCAGTGCATGTGGGTGAAAGCAACAGTCTGGCTTCAGCAATCTGGCTGCAATTTTTCCTCTCTCTCCAAGAATGCAGTGCCAAGTCATAGCAGCATTTAAATGCCTGTGGCCTTGCTTTAGTCATCCTGGTGAAGCTACTGTTGGCAGGCGAGAGGATAATTAGACTTCGAGTTGAGGTTGTAAGGTCTCCAAAGAGGTCTTTAAACTTTTGCTCCTTATTCTAAATCATCTATATTATCTAGTTGCATAGTAACAACATTAGAATGTGAAGACTATGTAGTGGGGCAGTGATTTCACATGATAGAACTTGTGATAACATTTTTACTGTCTTTTTAGGAAATGGTTTGCAAACTGGACCTGAATCAAGTGGATTTCCATTTGCATATAACCATGCCAACTCCTATTCAGGTAGTGGGAGAGGCAGTGGACGAGGACCTGTAAATCAACCAATACCAGGAACGCCTAATAATGTTCAGCCTTTTGTACCTACAATAAGTAATGGGAGGGACCCACGCAGAGCCCATAAAAGATGACTATGCCAAATGTGGCTGTACAGCTTGCTTTAAACTACACATCCTACTTGAACACTTTGCACTTTTATTTATGGTTAACTGTGGAAAAAGTTTGTCCTTTTGTGTTTTACCTTTTGGTCTATGGAGTAAAGTGACTTTGATTTATGTTAAGAAAGCACAGTGAAGCTGCTTTCATCCCATAACTAAAAAGGAGGGAGTAAGAGTCCTGGGGTCTAAATTAAAATTGGATGACTTTTTTTTTCTTAAAAAAAAGAGGAAGCAAATGTCAGTTAGCTATTTTGTTGCTCTCTTTCTCCTGGTCAGCCGTGCAGCCTTAGGGGTGTAGAGTGTCCCATATGTATGTATGTAACTTAACTTCCAGTAAGACGCGTGGGGTTGTGTGACTGCTTAGGGGGTGGTGGGAGGAGGGGAGAGGTGAAGGTGCCCTAAATGGCCAGGCCGTCTTTTAAGAATAGAAATGACATGTCTGAGCAATAAGTACAGAAATTGGTCAGTGCCAACAGCTACTGGTTTCTCCTAAATAAAAGAATGCATAACTTTAACAGAAATCAAGTGGCTACAGCAAAGATGTGTTGAATGCTGAACAAGCTTGACTTGTGTTGCCAAAAAGTGGAAATTACATCTCAAACTACAATATCTGCTTAAAAATAAACTCTACCATAATATTCCAAATAATCCTCAAGGAAACCTGAATCCATTTTGACTAGGGAAAACACCTGAATCCACAGGTATCTGTTCTTTAACCCAACGTTATTTCCCTCTGTTTTCTAATAATAATAAAGCGTGTTGAATTCACCTATGTAGCTATCCGTTTATAGAAATCCCAAACAAATATTTTCTTGTTTATAATAAAGTGATGTATTCCCTTATCCCCTCCAGAGAGTAGCATTCTTGGGCAAGATGGATACAGTTTTTTACCCAAGAAAAGATTCTAACTGCTGTATTATGTAGCAACAAATTATTTGCAGAGTGAACAGATTCCAATACCACACTTCAGAACAAATTTTGGTAATAGTGAAGACCCTGTAACGCTTACTGGATTCCTTCTTTGTGGATCTATTCTTGAAGCTGACCTCTTAAATAAAAGTTGCACTAACCATGTTGACAGACTTAACTTTCTTTTTGTCAAGCCTGAGAGATTTCATGACAGAAGGCTGCTTTTGAAGTGCAGGTTGTTGCTGTGTGGTCATTCCAATTCATTGAGTCTCCTTTCATCTATTGATGTTTACAGGTTATTTTACTCATTCACCCTCGGTTTTTGGCACGCTTGAATGTCAGTGTTCTGAAACGGCACATCTGCTTGATTTGTGAAAATTGCCTTTTACTTTGTCAATATACCTTGTGTGTAAAGATTTGTTGCTTGCTTAAAAACACTGAGCTTTTAAAAACTTCTGGAAGGAAGTTTAGAAAGATCTTTGTGTCCAAAGATCTGAAAGCTATTTACCTGAGATTCAGCAAAGCATTACACTGGCACGTTTGCTTTGGTAAAGTAGTCCATCGCTCCTTGTGTTTCCTGGCTGAGATGGACAAAAAGTGTCTAACACGCTAAATAAAATCTAATCGCGTGACTTTTAACACAGAGATCAGTGGATGCCTATGTGACCAAATTATAGTTGGTAAATTTTATAAAGCTTTAGAGAAATGTTTTTAGTTACTAGATGTCAGGTATCCAGGTGGTAGCCATATTGGTCTAGAGGAAAAAGCAATCAGGACTCATAGTTGTGATGATACCTTTTGTTAGACCAACAAGATTTTTTGCAAAATCAGAGACACTGCCTCTGCCTTTGTTTTGAGCTAATTTGCATCATCACAGAACCCCACGTAGAAGTGAGAGACTCCATACTAGCTATGAACTGACTACCCAAAGGAGTTTTCCATCTATTGACTGCTCTGTGAAATCCTATGAAATATGAACTTTCATTTCTACCCAGGAGAACTTTTATAATTCTTTCTCTGATGCCAGATGGAAGGGCGTTTGTGCCCGAAAGCTTGCAATTAAAGAATTTTTGCAAAAATGTTGTTGGTCTAATAAAAGATATTATCTGCACTATGAATTCTGATTGCTTAAGTTACTAGAACAACTTATTTCCCTGGTTATTTTTGGTGTGTGGCTTTTTTTTTTTTAATTCTAATCTGTAGATGTTCAGATGCACTGTACAGCTTTGTGGTCACTATCTTTATTTAATATGTAACTGAATACATCTCATAAAGAGGGTTAGAAATCTGTTGTGGTCCCCCTTTAGCATACATGTTTTCCTTGGCTCATTAGGTCATAAATACTGTATGTGGAAGCCCATATCTTCAGTACCAAATAAATCAAAATTATCAAATAATTACAATATTTTGTAGTCATCAAGCTTCCACAGCAAATTGTGGGCATTCCTAAATATTTGGCTTTGATCTCCCCATGAGACAAGGAGTGACCACATAGTGGCAAAACCTTATTTTTCTGAGTGTTTCAGTTACCGAATGTTTGCTTTATTCACTCTATACATGTGAATAATGAACTGGCTTTGGTTAGATACATTGCTTTAATGAACAGAAAACTTCAGATGGCTTCAGTGGAAGGTAAGGTGCACAGACTAGTTAATTAAATATGCTTTCAAATAGAAAGCTTAATTATTTCAGTTAGACTTAAGTGAGAGAGTTATTGCCTGTAAATTTAGCAAAGGACAGAAATATGTGCTTTCAAGAGTTCCTGTACGTAAATGGTTTGGAGATGGAAAAAGTGAAGCAAGAAGATTGATCTCTACTTTTCTAAGGTTAGTAGCATCCATATCTCAAAGTGTCTTATTTTTCCCTCCCCTCCTGCCTTTTGAAACTGTATAGTGTTATTAATTTATTGTTATTTTATTCAGGGGAAGTCCACTATGTGAAGAAGCCACATGGATTCTAAATACATCTCAGTGTATTTATTCCACTGCTGAAGTCAAAGGAAGAAAAATCTTCTCAGACAATTTGTCTACTACTCTATATAAGGATTCTGATACTCCAGAGGGATCTGTGTGTTTGCCTTATGTGCAGTCCAGTCCATTTCAGTTGGCCTTCTTACAGACATCTTCATCATTTAAGGCATGAAACAGTTGTAATGCAACAATCACAGGCTACTACAATTAGTTAACGAGAACCTGTGTTAGTGATTATAATTGTGCTTAAGTTAACGTCCTAAATAGCTCTCCAAAAGCTCCCAAAGAAACTTGTAACAAAGGTGCAACATTGTCTTCTGTTCAGTATACAACACTATCACATACAGTATACCCTGCAATAAAATATGCACCTTGTTTTTGAAAGGCAGAATGAAGATCAAAAGATATCCTTGTAGCAAGTAACTGAATAACAGCAGTTAGAGCCAAGCCTGCTTGTTGTTCTACTCAGTCATGTGTGGATTTTACTTTGCTTTTTTTCCCCAGTAACCAGCAGACACCACTGTTCCCATACTTCTTACATATAATGCATGCTACAGTTTACAGCTGCTGTTTCTGGGGGAAACTTTGTGTTGTATGTGAGAAAGTGTAGTCTTGTTTTAGATCATGGCAAAAATGCTGGAAGGTGCACATTTGTGTTCAGTTGCACAAAAATTGCCCATGCCTGAATAACCTCAAATACCGTTTAGTGGAATAGGTGAATTATGATATAAAATGGAGAGCCATGAAAACCTTATAAATCCATTTTTAAGTCTATTTGTGTATTAAGTAGTAGGTCCTCAGTAGGAAGGTATGGTGCAAACTTTGCCATTGAGCTGGGAGTGTGGCCCAGGTCTCACAGGCCCTTTGTCAGAACTGAGTCTTGCTAATTTCTTGACTCCTTAACTATAGAAAATGTTATTAAGTTAACTGTTCATTTACATATATTAGGGCATTTCTTTACCATAAAATTGGAAAAAAAAAATTCCTTTGAAACAATAGCAAGTTTACGTGTCAGGTGAGAAGTGACCATACACAAGTTGCTTAACCTGAAAGATATGACTGCTTTGCATTCAGTGGCCATGTCCAGACAAGTGCAGACATTGCTTTCCCTGGACACGAGAAGCACTGCTACTTGTCCCTGGGGAATACCTGTGCCATATGCACTCTGGCATGCAGCAGGTTACTCTGGGTGGGTGGGATGGGGCACACTTGGGGTCAGATCTCAGGACAGCCTGCCCACATGTCCATGGGGCAGTCTGCCCAGTTTCTCCTGCCACAACTTTGCTGTTCCCATAAGCTGTGGTATAATGTATGAGGCTGCCCATTTCTACCCCCAATGCCAGGGGCTGTTATCTGGCGCTCCAAATCTTCCCTACACCACAGCCCATGCCTTGCAGATGGTATCCACATTAGGATTACTCCCCTGGTGTGAGACCAGAGTAAACCCAGTCTGAAGTTGGGCTTCATTCATACTTGCATTCGCTCTGACCCCCTCTCGCAGGGGTCTCTGGTATGCCACCCATCACTAGGCCATGCTCCACTACCCTTGCTCCTCTTGAGTGGCCTGTCTTGGGCACCAGGCTTTGCTACTTGCATGCTGGGCTCACCATGCAGTCCTTTGGTTCCTGTAAGTGCCACTACTCTGTGTGGTCCAGCTTTATGCCAAACCCTGGGCTGATTCTGCCCCAAGCCCCTCACTGGGCAACTCTACACCATACCCCACCCTGGGGTCTCCTTATACTTGCAGCTAGCTTCTCACAGGGCTGGCCCTTGAGATGGCCTTCAGGCTTACTCCAGAGCAGCCCTACTCAGCCCCCTCGCACGCACAGCTCTTCAGGCCTACTCCCGATTCAGCCTTACTCTGTGTGGGACTGCCTGTTATGCTCCTCGTGCTACACCCTCTGGGATCTTGTATCCCTGCTGGGCTGAGGCACATACACATGGGCATATGTGGCCCCACTACCCCTACCACTCATGATTACCCACCAGGTGGTGGGGGCCAGGGTTAAGGTGCCCCAACACATCTTTCACTGGGGAGGTAATGCCTGGCATTTCCTGGGGACTCTCACACCACTAGGAGCCCCACCAGACCACCCATGTCTGGCAGGATGCATTTTTAGGTCATGCCCAGGACCAAGAGCCTCCTGCTCTTACCATCTAGATGTTTCTGCTTGGACTGGCAGCAGCAAACTGCAGCCTTTGTATACCTGGTTCTTAAAATGGCTGCTGCCATCCGGCACTTGTTAGCTGCCTGACTCTGCCCCTAAAGTGGCAAGCACCCAAAGGTGCACTGCCACAGTGGGGTAGGAGAAGTGGGGGCCAGCAAATGTGCTGGCCCCAGCAGCCTGACCTGGGGGCCTTGGGAAGCTGCAGCCATGGTGCTCCTGAAGCTTGGAGCCTAGTTGGCAGCCAGAGTGTGGCTCCAGCCAGCCAGGCTCCAGTTTTGGGCAGTTGCTGCCATGTGCTCCCCCCCTTTTTTTTTTTTGGCATGGGTTTTTTTGGCCCTGGGATCTCCTGGGGTCAGAAATAACCCCCAGTGCTGCAAGGTAAGTGTGGGGAATGCCTGCATAGGTGGTGTGTGGCACCACCAATGGATCTGCAGCACCTCATACCACACATCCACACTTTTCTGGGTGCTGTCTCATGCTGTTTTCAGGTCACAAAGGTGGGCAGGACTGATTAGCCTGATGCAACATTTGGACTGCATACAGAGATAAGAAACAGCTTGCTATGTGCACTATGACTTGGTATATAATGAAGAGATCTGTTACGTCAGAACACAGTCTATTCCAAAATCTATAGATTTCTATTTAATCTTTGCAAAGTCACTTATGCCCTGTTCCTTAGCCAACTAGAAAATGCTTCCCAGACTTGTTTCTCTTGCTTTAAGGGGTCACTTTGTGAGGAGTGCACGTCAGGGAGTCATGTATGACTTATGAAAGACAATGCTCCCTAGTATTTAAAATACTTAACTGAATCTCAGGAGACTATTTTCAGCTCTGCTAGTGACCTTTTGGGTGATCTTGAACAATTCATCTATCCTCTCTGCCTTATTTACCTTGCCTTGCTAATGGATGTGATGCTACAAACATAATTTTTAAAACACTTTTCATTCTAGAGTGCTACATGAGAATAAGGCATTGTTATGGGAATCCAAAGTTTTCTTTAATTTTTGGATAGTAATTAGGATGGAAGTT